TTCGTCGCCGGGACGTCCACTTTCAACCCGGAGACCGGGTATGGGTCTGGACACCAATACGTCGTCGCGGTCTCAGCGAAAAACTTCTGAAACGCTATTTCGGACCCTACAAGATCATCCGGCGCCTCGGCGATCTGAACTACGAAGTTCTACCCGACGGAACGCGCCCATCTGCAAGACGTCAGCCGCGACCCGAGGTGGTGCACGTCGTCCGGCTGAAGCCGTATTACGAACGATAGAACTTTTTACTCTTGTCGACGAGTGAACTCTGAACTCTGAACTCTGAACTCTGAACTGTGAACTGCGGCTCGCGATTCTGCTGTCGTTTTTTTTTTTTTTTTTTTTTTTTTTTGTTTTGTTTTGTGCTGCATCGGGACGATGCGCTTTTAAAGGGGGGGATAATGCCGCGCGCAGGGTCACGGACTTCTAGAACTTTCTTGTTTATTCTTGCTCCGTACATAACTTCTGTCGTTTATCCCTGCTTATGTTGTTCTAGAAAGTGTGTGTTCATTCTCGCCCCGAGCGCGCTACGCTCGAACCTTCTCCGCCGAATCTTCGAGATAGTGACTCACTCTAGATAAGACGCCGCTCGCTACATTGTCGAGTCAGTCTCGCCTCAGCGTTTGATCGTGCTGCTTCGCCGCCTTCGACGCCCGCGACGCTCTGTTGTTATCTTTCTTTTGTACCCTTTTATTTTTGGCACAAGTTCGCCACATTAAACGTTTATTTATTCCTGTTTATTTCTTGTTTATTAGTCACCACCCGTGACAATATGTTGACTGTGAGGATTTAGAAAAGACTATTACACATGGTTCCTGCATTACATTGCATTGATTTTGTTTGCTAACACAGGAGCAAGACATCCCGGCAATGTCGTTCGTCGTGTACTCTGGCAATGACGCCGAGGGGGCTGACTTTTTGTACCTCGCTGTCGATAGGCAGCGGTTCCTGTCCGTGAAGAATGCAGAGGATGGCATCGCTGCCATCATGGTGGCTTACTGGCTTTTTAATATAAAGTGCTCGAAAAAGGCAGCAAACACAGTTGCTGTACTAGAACGGTTGTTTTTCGGCCTCAGCAGCACTACTCCGAGGCCAGTTGGGACGAAATTCCTGAACAAGGTCGCAAGAGAGTAAAATCAGTGAGGCCAACAAACAACCGTTCTAGTACCAAAGGGATGCTGAACCGAGATTTGGATAGCACGAAACCAGGCAGGAGCACTAGGTGGGATGCTGCAAACCTTAAAACATAACTCATAGGACGGTATCTTGTATGGGTGGCAGTACTTTTTGGAAAAGATGAGCATGATTGAACAAAGCTTGCGACATCTCTATTCTCCTCTTCCCTTCTTTTTCGAAAATATGGCCATCCAGTTGAGATACTTCTGCATGAGTGATGTTTTGGGGTTTGTAGCATCCCACTGTGTGCTTCTGATGCCTTGTTTTGTGAAGCCAAATTTCAGTACAGCACCCATTCAACTTTTAAGGGGGGACACTACCCAGAAAAAACAATTTCTGCAAAACCAAGTTGATATTGAAAAATGTCATATTCAAATCCACCAACATCTAGAGAGTATTCCCAGAACTTTTCACTAGTTTACACTGCATAGTTAATTCTTTAGAAATTGTTTTCTGTCAACCGATGCTAAAGAAAAGGTACGGGTTGGAGCACTTAGAACGCATTTTTCTCTAATCCACTTTTTAGCATAAATTTCCCTTTAGGAAAACTATCGTTTTGTTATTACATAACTTGGATTCATTTTTATAAGTTTTTCTGGGGTGAAATTTTAAGGGGAAGATAGCTATGAGCTTGAATTTTTTATTTTTGTCATTTTTCATGCTCAAGAACTAGCATTTTGGACAAAAAAATGGAGATCTAAAAAAAAAAACAGCATTTGTGTTTAGTGGCATTTTTGTCGTGAAAGATGGTATAATATAGAAAAATAGCTCCATAGCTATCTGCTTTGAACTGTTCTAAAGCAATATAACACATGAAAACGACAAATTTATAAGTAATTTCAAAACGATAGTTTTCCTACGCAGACACGCCCACTTCCATCTTTGAACGTTAGCAATTCTTATTGTACTTTAACGAGGTTAACAAAATTTGGCACAAACGTTCTCAACATCAATAGAAACAAGTCCTGTAAATGTCATTTAATACAGAGAAGTGGTTAAAAAATTCACTTTTTTGGGTAGTGTCCACCCTTAACTTTCTAACTCTAAACTAAAATAAATGTACCATACTTACCAGACTATAGTGCACAAACTATACATGTCTAAATGTTGATATTTTACACCGTATGGTCTATCTACAGGTGTGGAATCTACAACTTTTGTTTCAAGATTGTTCATTATTACGAAACTGGTTAGGCCAGATTGCCATGTTTTGGATATTTTATGCTGAGATAAAGTAATCGAGACAGTCTCTTACCGTCAGTCTGTTTCCTAGGCTTTCGATACCTCGCATCTGACATGGTGTTTGCTTGGAAGCCCGCACGCAACCAACTTGGGTCAAGCTTAATCTTGAGGAGCTCTGCGATTGGCTGACGAGCGGATCACGGAAAGCCCTCCGACATTCATCCGCAGATATCCCTTTTGTGGAGTTCTCCAGCCTGAAGTTTTCCCTGAGGACTATACACCGAGTGCGGACTGTTTAAGAAAACGCTTTTTCTTTTTAGCCGAAATTTACCCTTGCACATTATACACAGGATTGTGGACTCTAGTCTGGAAAATATGGTAGCTTTTAATTATAATGCAATTAAAATGCAAAGGTGCAAGCGAGCTGGACAAGAATGACGAATGTAATCCCTGGAGAAGGGGATTACTTGTTTTAATGTTTCAAGCCCTAAACTGAAAGAAGTGTAGCTTGATTTTTATGCAACTTTAGGGTCTTAAATGAAAGTCGCATGTGCTATGGAACAAAAAGTATACGCTCGAACCGGAAGGCATCTAAATTGTTCTTTTGTTCTAGTCATTTTATCAAGAAACATTCTCATGTACTGAGGTAATCTGTATTGATTTTTTTTGCTAGCATCTTAAGCCTACGGTGTGATATTTAAAAAAAATATATAATTGGTTATTTGTATGGAGGACATACCTGGTTATTTTGTTGTGCTCACATAATAGTTCAATAAATGATTATTCATTTAGTTGGCTTTTATTGACTCAAACCCCCCAATGTTTTGTCGATTTTTACTAGCATCTAGGCCTATATAGGCTGTGATATTTGATAGAATGCCACAAGTATTGTATTTTGATATGTGTGTGGAGGACATCCCTCATTATTTTTTTTGTGGTCACATAATAGCTCAATAAATAGTTATTTAGTTTTCCTTTCAGTTTTTTTTTCTCATTTTATAACAACTTTTATTTACTTGCAGCTCAGTCACATGCTGTGTGTATGCAGCTGATGCCACTCGCCATGCCTTGGGCGAAAGTGTAAAGGCACTACGGCATACCAAGTATGACGGCTCGTAACCACTTCATATGCAAGGCAAATGACCGACGAGCCAGAGCAGGATGCAAGGACCAAGTATCGGGATTGAACAAGCTAAGCTCCTCGTTGTTTATGTTTGTACCATACACTTTCTCACATTGCATAGTTTGCATAAGCAAGTGCTCATTATGCATGTGACGCATATCACACTTCAGTGTTGGTAGTTTGACAATTGGACACTTAATGACACATTGAGAGTGGTGGCAGACTTCTTCTTTAAAATGATGTTTGAGAATGTCTCCCACTGATCTATTCTAGTATATGAGTATTAAGACCATCGAGCAATTAATAGATTCAGAAGCTTTAGGCATGGAACAAATTCTCTGATATTTTTTTTTATTTTCCTTCCAAATTTTGTGGGAAGTAAAACTTAAATCACGCAAGATTTTTCTGTAACATCTGTTTGCACACAAGTTAAGCTTGACATTGAAATATTACCTTTTCTGCCATGCACATCTTGCCTTCATTATCGGACGATGCATCTGTGCACAGCTGCTTCAAGTAGCATGTGTGCCGATGCATTGCACACATATCAAATTATGAATCCAGTTTCTGGAACGAGGTCCTATGCTGGTACTTTACTTTTGCATCTCCTTATTTCTTAACTTAATTGGTCTGCATACTTCGTGGTTTTCTGGTTGCCATACCTGGTATACTGAATCCGCTTTGACAAGTGCTGAGATACCGGTGTGATTCATTCTCATCGGAACAGATTCTTGTAAAATAAAACTTTTGTTTTATGCAAATTATCTTTTTACAGTTGAGTTATAGTTGTCCTGGCAGACACTTTATACAGGCAAGATGGCAGCTAAAAGTGGCCTTATTGTTTAAAAGCCATGAATTAGTTTTTTAGTTACTGGTTTGATGGCACCCGAACATATTGTGAAAATGGAGGCAGTCACCTTCTTAGACCAGCTTATTTTTCGTGAAATGAGCACTAACCTAAGAAAAAACGATTGAGAAAGATTTGTGCACACAAAACGGGTTGTGGGATACAATACTTTCTGGACCGCTACAATACCGCTGCCTTTGGTGAAATGATATTTTCTCCTTTTTTTCGGTCTGTGTGCTCATTTCAAGATTTATTAAAAATTGACTGGTTTAGGAGGTGATTGTCTTCAATTCGCAACAACTGTCGAACCAGCAATTGAAAAAGTTAATCAGCTAATTTTAGATAATAGTCCACTTTTGGTGCCAGCCTGCCTGTACAAAGTTCGGCTTGGCTAAGTGCTCACTGTAACGAGATCATCTGTGCAAATAAGACAAGTTTTGTTTTACAAGAGCCTATTTCGATTAGAATGGATCATCCTCGAGCACGCATTAAAATCAGCATCAGCACCCTTGGATTGGGGTGCATTGCACCGTGCACCCTATGCTACTCCACACCCCTATAGGGTGCTTTGGCACAGGGGTGCTCGTTTGCACCCTCAAAGGGTGCTCGTCCTGGGAAAAGTGCTTTACACCCCTAAGGGGTGTAAAAAAGTTTAATGTGTGCTTTATGGAGACGTGGAACGCCGTGGATGTTGACATTGCGGGCTACGCTACGGTCGCGCGTACGCAGGGGTTTGGTCGACCTGCGGGCGGTGTGGAAATCTGCGTCAAGCGTTCCGACAAACGTTCCGTCAACGCGCTGGACCTACAACTGCGCCCCACTGCTGACCAACGTAGCAACGGCGAGCATTGTGCCACTAGCGTCTACGGCGTTAACGTCATGACCATGTACCTCGGACCCAACCTCTCACGCACAGCCGTGGAGCAGTACATCGACGAGGCCATGGGTGACTACCAAAACCAATACGCAGACACACATCCTTTCATGCACATTGGTGACTTTAATGTCAACGTCATGAAGAGCCATCGCATAGTTGTGTACATGTCATCACACCACTCGCTGCAACACGTATCATACGACGACCGCAAACAACAGCGAACTACCATTCACGGCACATGCATTGATCACGTCTTCACCAATTTCAAGATCCACCCACTGCACCAAGATCCCCTCAATGTTCACTTCAGCGACCACAAAGCCATCCTCATCAAAGCAAAGTGCACACCTCAAGTATTAGACGCTGCTCAATAAGGACCTTCGTTAACCGTTGCACCTTCGTCTACGCAATTAAAAGAATTACACCATCTTCCCGAGGGGAACCATGGGGTGATGCGCAGCATCGCGGAGTTTCCAACGACGTTCACGTGATGTGTGGTAACCAACGCAAGTTAACAACGTAATAACACGCAAATTAACAACGTTACTAATAACGTTACTAACACCGTTAATAACACCGTTAATAACGATCCGCGATGCTCCGCATCACCCCATGGTTCCCCTCGGGAAGATGGTGTAATTTTTTGTTCAAGACTTATCGATATCTCTGATGCCAAGAAGCAACGATTCCCACATGCACAGAAGGCAGCGAAATCAGTCACTTAATGTATCTGTAGACTTTTAGTTTCTCCACTTTGTCGCACCGAGCTTAATGCAAAGATTGTAAGCCTTCGGGAATATGGAAAAGCGATTTGACGATTTTATCTTAGGTGGCTACGGCAGATTCGCTTTGGCTAGGCACACATTGCTTTGGTTTGGCAATTAATAAAGGTTTGTTATATTTTCTCCTTCAAAATAAAGCGCGTCCGCCAAGGCGGGCTTGGCACCGCTGCATAAACAGCATTGGCGAATGGGTCTTTCATAATGCCGGAGACTGTGCATCTCGTGCTAATGTCCCCTTAGTTTCCTGGCCCGGCTCGCGAACTGTGCACCACACATGTGAGGAGCGTAATCCTGTGCGAGCACCTACTGAGGCCCATTCTTCTTTTTTGTGCTTCCTGACTATATCGATTTCTTTCTCCGGTAAGTCGAAAAGCTGAACGCTTCTGGTCATTGTTTTAACTTTTTTTAACGAAGTCCTTTGACGTCCGCCTCAAGGAGCCGTCCTGCGAACGAAAATTGTGTACTGTGGCGAAGTGCTTCAAGCCTTACAACCTGTGTATAACACAAACAGGTCTGGCTACCATGAAGAGCTCGTTCCGTTTTCTCCGCCCTTTGTGCCCTGGCTTTAAACATCGGATAATGGAACATCCGCTGCACCGCTAAATATAAGACTAAGGAATGTCAGTTGCAATCTTTAAAAATTAATAAAATATAATGTAGCCAAGCACCAGTGTTCTCAATCGAAATGAATTTACCCGCTGCATTTGAACACAAAAATAAGCAGTATAGTTTTTGCAGCGCAGCCGACCTGCGGAAACTGCGTTTGGCCGTTCAGAGAACCTGGAAGCGAATTCGGTCACTTCTTGAGAAGATACAACAAGAAAGTTCATATGATCGGCAGCAATAATAAAAAAAAAAAAAATTGAACGAAATAATAAATGGCCTTTTTCGATAAAGTGGGTTCAAAATATCAATTCATTTCATTTTTGACGATATTTCAAATTTTATATAAAAAATTCAGTGAAAATAAAATAGGCTAAACTTATGCCCGCAGAGTATTTGGTAAGCGACAAATATAATAACTCATGAGTTACAAGGCTCTGAAGTTGTCACCGCATTGTCACGTGACAGCGATTTCGATCACTTCTAAAGAAGATACAACAAAAAAAGGGGGAAGTCGCATCAAGCCAATTGAAATTTCATATGATCGACAGCAATAATAAAAAAATTGAACGAAATAAAAAAATGACCTTTTTCGATCAAGTGGGTTCGAAATTTAGTTAGTTCATTTTCGACGATATTTCAAATTTGATATAAAAAATTCAGTGAAATAAAATAAAATACACTTATGCCCTTTGATAGCTCATGTATAGGGCTACACCCGCATAGTATTTAATAAGTGACAAATATAATAACTCATGGGTTACAAGGCTCTGAAGATGTCACTGGATTGTCAAATAGACGATGTTTGGCATTTTTTACGTCAGTAAACAAAAATACAAAAGTATTTTCCTTTATACTAAAAAAAGAGTCCAAATAACATACAAAATCACCAAAGATTACTGTAAGTTTTGTATGCTTCCCGTATTCGTTCCTGCGTACAGAAGTGGGTAGAAAAATCACGAAGTAAAAAAGAGATTTTCACCCTGCTCCACTCAATAATATTTTGTGAAGCGAAATATGTTTTAAAAAATGTTTAAAAGCGACTTTGTTCTTTTCGGAAATGAGGCAATTACATATATTTAAACAAAAAAAATCGAAAGACGCACCCCGAGAAGCGCGTTCGATTTCAAATGAAACCACCCGAAAATAGAAATTAAAGTAACATCCGACGTAACTTCACCCCAATGTTTCAAGTTACATCCGGCGAGAACTCGAAATGAAAATGAGAGTAACGTCCGATGGGAATAAAAGCTAAAGTGACGTCCTGTTTAGCTTACGCAACCTTAATGAATGTTAAACATGATGAAAAACAGCCTCAGATAAACAAGTACGAAGAACGGGTGAGGTCTTTACCCGTTCTTCGTCCCTGTTTCTCTGAGGCCATTTTTCATCATGCCTAACTGTTACCAACTGGCCCAAATCACCACCCTAGTCCAGTTTATTGAATGTTATGTTTTACGGCCGATACATGACGTACACACAAAAAATATCGTGAATTACCACTACGTTACGTCCGGTGCAGCATTCGTCAATTTGTTAAAATCGCGACTTCATCTGTAGCTTCAGGCACAGATGCCTGTCACATTATTTTTTTCTTTCTCGTTTTTTTTTTATTGTTTAAGACAATTATTTTTCCTTTAAGACGATTTCTTGTGACGCTTTCTCAGCACTCGCGGATGTTGGAACTAATTATTAAGAGAAATAGAATGGCCATGTGATAAGCAGGGTTCCTTGCGCTGCCGACGCGAGTCCAGTAATGAGCTAACACTCATTTCACTTATCAGTGCAAGGAATGTCTCCATCTCCTTGTTAGTGAAAGCCTTGGCTAAAACGTATTCGATTAGACTACTTGATTACTCGACGGCAAAAGTAATTGGACATTACTCAAAGAAGTAATCGTTACTTTTTCGATTACTAATATTGTGTGAAGACACATCTTTAGCGCTCATAACAATAAACTACTTCCAACCTATATTTCACATTTGCACAAGTATTCAAGAAGAAAAACTGGCTCCCTCTTCGTGGTCGTTGCGCCTTCACAATGCGGACACAAGCATAGAATTCGTTTGAAGACGTTTAATGATTTGGGCGTTCGCCAGTCTGTGTGTGTGGGGGGGGGGGGGGGGGGGGGAGCGGAGGGGGTTCTAGACCTGTTAAGCATAAGCAAGGGTTGTCGCTGAAAGTTTGCATCGCTCATTTTATTATTCACATGTGGATGAGCTCGCATGTTATACAAAAGAGCAGCAGGTCCAGGATTTGAAACGGATCATGTGTAGTATCCATTAGCGGAAGAGATCGCCCCGACCACTTCTCAACTCGAAACATTGCTTGTCACAAAGACCACGTAGGGGAAATATTTCATGCCTTTGTTACATTTTGCATCCGCTTTAGGCGTTCTTCGGTTGTGGTTCTCCTACGGGCTGCGAGTAGGTACCCTAAGCAGGATTTTTATTCTTTTATTTCTGTGTGTGTGCGCGTGAGGGGGCTAGTTTGAACGAAAGACTCACAAAGCTACATTCTGCTTCCTCAAACTTCGCCCTGAATGGCCTTTGTCGCGCACTGTGGCTTCCCTGGGCTTCCCACTCCCAGTCCCAGCTCGAAAAAAAACAAGAAAAAAAAAAAACGGATATTCCTCAGAAACTTTACATAGAAAGAGATCGACCTCGTTTCCTACAGCTCCGCAAAAATCTTTCCTTTTTCCGTACGAAAAAAAAAAAAGAGCAAATTTTATTTTTGTCATTTTAGAAAAAAAGGCGTGTGCCGGGGGGGGGGGGGGGGGTTTATGGACAAATTGTAACGGTTACAAGTAATTTTATTACTTCAAAAAGTAATCAGATTACTCTCGTGATTACTGCCTAATAAAAGTAATCAACTGATTGCAAAATTACTCTAAAAAGTGATCGATTACAGGTAATTTGATTACTTGTAATGCGTACGGTACAAGTCTGCATAGAACGTTTCGATACGTTACCTGGATCCGATGTGCTGCTAGTCGCATCCATGCAAACGTACGTACAGTGTAAATGTTTGACTTCACTTCATAAAAACCAAGTGCAGCACCCCGGTCCGGGGGGAGGGGGGCGAGGGAAGGGAGGGACTGGTTTGCCCCCCACTCAATAACAAGTTGGTACGCCACTGTATGTCGGCACGGTCAAAGCAGGACAACCAAAAGAACACAAAAACGAGAACGCTCCTTGAAGTTTCAACACGATGCGGCGCACAAGCTGTCATTTGCCGAACTCAACCAAACCGGAAGAATTCCTGACTTCTTTGAAGAATCACTTGTTGCCGATATACGCGTAGGACTTTTCGAACACTTATAGCGTCGGTGCACATCCAATACGTTGTCAAAAGGGAAAGGCGAAAGATCGAAGCAGGCAGGACAAACAAACACGAACTGCAATGGACAACAAGCAGACACAGAAAAAAGCGGCTGCTAGCGCGGGCGCTTCCGGATCTCGGAGGGGATGCTTATCGGCGTGTAGCGTGCCCTCCTCTCCCTCGAGTAACATGACAGAGCTGACCAGAGATGAGGGAGGGGGCGAGGTCCAGGTGCATGACACCGAGACACCCCCTCACTTTCTCCTAAGGCATTCCACCACGACACGTTTGCATCGTGGTGAAAGCAGGCAAATCGCGCGCATTTCACCACGCTCGAACGCTGAAAATGGATCCGGCCAGAAGCTTGGCTTGTGCCCGAGCGAAAAAGGCACCCAGCGCAAGCTCCTCATTTGACGGCTGCAACGGTGGGCCTGCTCTCCCAATGCTCGATGTTCTTGCAGCCACGTGTTCGCGCGCTACCTTTGCTGAGTCTTGAATTGAGGTGAAACGGAGTCTAGATATATTCTTTCACGCGGCCGCGTCTTTTGCGAGAAAGATTCGAGCTGAATAAGTAAATTGAGGCAACAAAGAACGCCGAAGTTTTAAAGCTCTTTCAAAAATATCGGCTCGCCAAGTGCACGTTTACGTAGGAAAAAAAGAAAAAAAAA